TCTTAAGGACTTTTTCTTCTACAGCTCTTGTTGTGTCACACATGAGCACGTGCCTTTCCTGTAGAGTCTAGAGGTGTGTTGTTTTCATTGGAACATAGAGGTTCAAGAATAGGACAATATAGGACACGTGAGCAAACTTCTGCTTCTTCAGCCTCTGTTTCCGGTTATTGACAAGCCCGTGACTTTGCTATCATCAAGGTGTCTGCATTAAACTTCTACAAGGAAAAATAATCAGGCCTCTGAAATTGAATTTAAAATAATTTCCACAAAGGCAGCTTATGTGCAAAACAGCAGTCTTCCTATGAGGTGTCAGAAAATCTTTTGTAAGACATGTTGCGTTATATACACTCTGCCTCATGTAGAACTTTGCTTATTCTTTTTAAAGGTGCTACTAAATATGTTGGAGTTTGGAGCTGGTGGCCCATGAGTGGGCACAACAAAGCCTGTTTGGTCACAGCCTGACTATCACTAGAGGGAGCTGGTGGAAATGTTGGAGCTCTTTGTCTTCCAAGCACTTGGAGTCTATAGCCACTTCAGTCTCTGTTTTTATGCTTTCCTTAGATGTCACACGTATTTTTTAGTTTAGTATACCTGTTGATAGTCCCTGCCGATGGAAGATGAGAGCTAACACAGGCTTGCAAACAGTTTAACTTTTGCAAGAATGTCACAATTTTAGGGATAGACTAGAAATATAGAATGCAAACCTGTGTGTAAATACTACAGTCCAAGGGAAACAAACTTTTGTTGGTCATTTTGCATGGCCAAGGTTTCACCCACAGGCTGTGGCAGAAATAGAAATAGAATTTTTCTTATGTCCTACTTTTACCATAATAACATTGTTGCAAGAAGTGATGAATGCAGGCTACGTCGTGGTTTTTATATGTCACCAGAAAACAGTTTTTTGAAGTGGTTTATTTGATTGATTGTGGAATGATGTTACAGAAGCGTTGCAAGTCTAGGGTCAGTAATAGTTGTTCTTAAGTAAGGTTTATGGGCTCTTCTTTAGAGAGAGGAATTTCTATACGCTCACTTAGTGGTAGCTCTGCCCTGATTGTAAGCTTTTGAATCTCCAAGCTGGTTGGTTAAGTATCAGAACTACTTTTGTTGCATCATTGCTGACTCCTTCTTAGGTCAGCATTATTACTAATAAATTAAATCTTCTCTATATGTGTCAATGCGTGTGGTTGCATAAAAGTGTGAGCGCTTGCTTCAAGCTGACTTCTACAGTTCAGATCAGTTTTCTGTCTCAAAGTGATGGCAGAGATAGCAAGCGGGCATATGCCTGTGCATGTCAGGAGTGATTGGTTTTATGTTCAGTGACCTGTCTCATGGCAACAGGTGGTTGCTCTTCCTCAGAAGTAGCTCATTAGTTCATCCCAGGCGGTCATGTAATTAATAAAGGTAATCTGGAAACTTTCTTCTGGCTGTAGCCAGGAGACCGTAGACACAAGGACTTCAGGGGAGCAGTTTCCCCTCGTGACTGTCCAGGTGGAGTTTGCTGGTTGACATGCACTTGTGAGGTGGCGTGCCTGAGGACAATTATAGCTACAGCATAGTGTTTGTGTGGATGGTGGCTGGAAAACATGAGCAATGCATCACTTGGACATTGAGAAATGGATGGTAGCATGGATGGGTGTTTCTCCATTTGATTAAAGGGAAGTCATGGGTGTTCCTAAGGTCACTGGGAGCTCTATCTGAACAGCTGGCCAAGAGGCTTCCCTTAGTTTAGCTAACAGGTGACTGCATGTTCATCATACAGTTCTCTGAGCTAGTATTTGCCTCTGTGAGCAGTAACCTACTAAACAGTAAGAGAAGAACAAATTAGAAAAGCTTATAAAGGAATACAAGTGTGAGTTCATAACCTGTGTCGATACACATGCATTGTGTTGCCCAGTCTTTCCAAAAGCATCTGTGCAGCCCATGCTATTATTTCCCAGGCTGTGTCTCATCTACAGATGTCATGCAGTTACCACACCCTGCCAGTGCTTCCACAAGAGGTACTTCCCTCCCATTAACATTTTGCTGATGATGGGTGGGACCCGAAGTTTTGCGAGAAAAATTATAATGAGAAACTCTCTGGTAGAAGTTGCAGCGTAGGGTGTCCAAATGGCAGTGATATTAGTAAAGCCCCCTTGATTCGCACCTGACCATTTTTTTTATAACGTAAAAAATTTTTATTTGCTTCAAGGCTTTTTTTTTTTCTTTAGATTGTTTTCAAGGTAGTTGGAAGACATTTGTCATGTGTCTGTTTCAGCTGTGTCTCGATCACTATTGTGTCTTTTAGCAAACCACGTCTAGGGGTGGCTGTAAGGCAGCGTAAAGCAGTAGGACTGACCATTTGGAGCGTTAGAAGAAACTATTGGGAAGAAACGATGCTATGCTTTTCAGTAGAGCGATGTCTTTCTTTCCGTCTTTCTGGCATCTTTAATTTAAATCAGGAGGTTGCTTATATTTGCTCAGAAAACACTGATGGCAGAAATGTTTATTGCAAATGTTTTATCCTTTGGTTATAAGGAATGAGAACCTCTTTAGGTGCTAAAACAGTTACAAAAAAAAAAAAAGCAACATTCAGTTTAGGGAGGATTGTCTTGTCCTTCCTGTACCACACTGCAGAGAGCTTCTCAGCCAGAGCTGAGGACTTAGACCTATAGTCTAAAGTTAAGCTTTAGACTAGAATTAGACTTTTATTGTCCCTCATAACACTTGGGAATTGATTGCCTCCTAACACCTGTTCTTTGTCCAGGACAGGTATCAGAGCTACAGGAATAGTCCTGTGAGAGAGAAATAGTGGAGTTTCCCACGGGTGGTGGGGAAGCACCTGTGAGCGAGTAAGCCATTATCTTACCTCTTTAAGTGGAAACACTGTGGTTCGTGTATAAAAGACTCAAAACCCGATTCTGGTATTGTTTACACTAGTGTAAACTCTGCTGTCTCATGGTGCTGGAGCATGTCACAAGCTGCAGTTTGGGCCCTGCTGTTCCTCAGGTTGATGAGAAGCTCGTGTTTGGCTACTGCTTGCGTGTGGGTCAGTTTCATCATTTAAAACTGGATGTGCCCATGCATTCCAAAAATCCACCACTGCTCGCTTTGCCAAGCAGTAAAATTAGGCATGAGAAATAAACAAGCTCAAGATTGTTGTAAGCTATATGATTATATAGGAGAGTGATCTGAGCTACTACTGTATTGTTTGGGGGTTTTTTTGGTAGTAACTGCAGACTGCAATGCCCATGCGATGTCCCGCATGCTTGATACATACAGAATTGATTTTAAACTCAGGAAGTCCTTGATTATGTGAAATTTTATTTCAAATCAAGTGTTTAGAAAACAATTTTGCAGGTTATAAATAGAACAGATTTTAAATCTACTTCCCGGTGGCCATGTGTGGTGTGGTGGTGGGGGGGGGGGGAGGGTGTTAGGTGGTGTTTGAGGGGGAGGAGTGGTTTGGTTTTTTTAGCATAACACAATAAAGGGAGTTTTCAGTTGAGTAGCCATCTCCTTCTGCAGAGGAAGCTGGCAGGATGATGTTTATGCTTGTTTTAGTCATCAGAGGTGAAGTGCACAATAATGGTAAGCCTATGTTTCTACAATTGGAGGATATTTCTCATAATGAAGGAAGTCTCCAAGGTCAACAGCTACAATACCCGGAGAACTTACATCACAAAACCACATCTGCACAAGACCGCTCTCTTCCCCCTCCTTCCCTTTTCTTTTTGTGCGCTCTCTCTCAGCTTAAGTGTTGCTCACACCACTTGCAAGAACACCATGGATTTTGATATGGACTTCTGTTTACAGTGTTATTTAGGTGTTTAAAAAAAAAAAGATACACACGCACACACACCCAAAACCAAAAAACCCTAAGTATTTTTCCCCCTAAATAATTGAAACTATCACTACGGTCTTCTAATATCCTGTACATTCCCAAACTCAGTTTGTCTAGCTACTGTTTTTGCAATGAGAATTACATTGTATTATGATGATGGCAGCAGCAGCACCTCCCAAATCTAGTCTGGACCTGTGCATTTCTTGGTTATCTTCTATCACGTGACAGTAGTGGGCATGGCAGCTCATGCCTCTGTGTTGAGCTCTATGTATGTGAAGAAGGAAGCTTTTGGCTATTTTAGCAAAGTCTGCATGAGGGAAAAGAGAGAAGGCTAGACCTTAATTTTTCCAGGTCACTTTGCATCTCCATGTACTATGCAAATTAATGTTACTGGTACATGTGACAGTCTGGAAACCCCTGATATAATACATTTCTCTCTGTTTCGGGGGTTTTCTTTTTTGTGTTCCTATACGTGAAATTTCAGTGCAAGGACTGTATGTTATAATCCTCTTTCTGAAGCAGTATTTTTCACCAGTGCTTGCTTGGTTTAGCTTTAACAAATGGCTGTTAATCTAAATTCAGCTCATCTTATAATGGCGAGAACATGGACACTCCTTAGAAGCCTACCTGTCCATTTAATTTGTTTTCCAACCTCCTGATGAGGTTTGCTCTTATTCCATCAACAGGATAGCAAAGTGAAGAGGTTGCTCTGCATACTCCTCATTGCTGTAGACCTTACTCTATTTATACCCAAAACTCTGACTCAATACTGTTGAAGTCAGCTGAGTCTTTCCTTGGCTTCGGGTTGTTCTGAATCAGTCTATAAACCTAAAAGTCAAAGCTGCTTCTAACAAAGAAAACAAAATCTTTTTCCTTCAGTTCCTAACAGAACTTGTGTTGTGGTTTAAGCCTGTTGTTCATGTCTAATCGTGTTCACTGGTGATCATTTCAAGCATCATATATTAGAGTGAAGTTACCTAGTATTCAATGTTTCCTTGATTGCATTTGGTTTGACAACAATTATTGCATTTAAAAAGGGTGGTGGCATTCTGCCATCCCTGTTTCCTCACTCTGCAATTGGGAATGGTAGTTATGAAGAGGTGTAAATGTCATCCAGGTAGCTAGGTAACCCTGAGTATTTAAGGAGGTGAAAATAAAGGCTGATCTTCTTTTAGGTGTGGACAGGTATGAGAGAGGTTGGATTGGACTAGTGAAAGAAGGATTTGTAAAGCTGAGGACATGTGTTTTGGAAGGTGTGCTAGATGTATTGGTTATAAGTTGCTCATCCTTGCCTTGCTCAGCATCGTGGCCAACATCTTACTTTATTTTCCCAATGGCGAAACAAGATTTGCTTCAGAGCATCATCTCGGCAAATACGTGGAGTGCCTTCATGGCATTCTAGGTGGTGGCTTTTTGGTAAGTAATGAGCTAGTGGTTTCTTTCGAGTTTATTTTGGAGCTACTTGGTATTACTGTTTCTTTACCAATTACATTAATTTATTGATCGAATATCTCATCATCCAGGATTCTCTGGAGTTGTATCAAAAGAAATTAGCTATATTACCCCATAGGTATTATTAGTTACTATTGGTTATCTTATCTGCAAGATTATGTTACTTTAGAGCTGAGAAAATCATAGGGTCTAGGTCACAGAATCAAATGCAAAACTGGAACCAAGCCTCTCAGCAGGTCACAGTTTGCGTAAAGGGTTAGATCTTACATTTTTGTTATATTATTGAACCATTCTCCTTTTAAATGTCCCTAGATAACTAGCATTTAGTTACAATTCCTTAATTTCTGTTATCCAAGATGTTGACAGTTATTCCTCTGCCTTAGCTCTTTATTCAGAGGAATCGAGTGGCAGATTCCTCTGTCCTTATCAAAGCTTTGCATTCAAGTAACAGCAAAGGATGAAGAATTGAGTGTGTTCATTGTAGGACATTGTTAATCTGAAGCTATTATTTTCTACCTTTTCAATTTTGTGGATCACATTGTAGCATATTTAAGTTCCCTGACTTCAGGCTTCCTTTTTCATTTGCTTTTAAAAGTCCTCTTAGAAATAGGCTACAGATCTCAAGGTGTTTGTAAATCACAGGTTGAAAACAATTGCATGATAAGGCCCTCCGTATTATGAGAGGTGCTTACAGCTGTGTTACAGCCCCATTGGAACCTAGACTGGGATTTGCGAAGACTGGGATTTAGACACAGAATAATACACGTGAAATCAATAGAACTGTTCCTGGAACACACTTGTACAGCCTCTTCTGGACCTGCAGCGTTGGGGCTCAGCAATAGTAAGGGCTGAGTAGTAAGGGTTGAGTAAGGGCTGACAAGTATGTGACTGTTCAACTGGATAGTTTTTATTTTCGTGTCTTGTTAAGTAAATCTGTGCAGTTTGCAGATAACACTTTGCTCTTTCTTTATGGTTTTCCAAGGTACCCATGGGTGTAGAGTCTTTATAAGTGCAAACTATTATTAAGTCCTGTTAGCGCTGTTGGGGAGGATAATCTGTTTAACCAACTCTGCTCCTTCTTGATTTTATGCTAAAAGTTCTGGAGTATGGATGATTTATGTTTCTTACAGATAGCTTCTGCTTTGTTACTTTGCATTTCTGTCACTGGAACTGGTTGTGAAAACCTAGAAAAACCTAGATGTCTGTCATGAGATGTCTGCCTGAATTGGGCAAAATATTCCTAGACTTTCTACTCTAGTCAGACTGGTTTGTCGCACAGGCAGTGATGACTACTCTTCAATAACTAATATTTTGGTAGTAGTTTTTTTTTTAACAAAGTAACTATGAGAGACTTATCTTGTAGCCCTCGTTTGGCAGAAAGTGAATGCATTTTTTTGCAGGATACAGCCTTTAATGTGAACAAAAACTTTTCAAGTTGAAGTACTTTAAATGGCAGCAATACCACAGCAAGCTCTTCATTGACAGGCTCTTTATGCACTTAAATGCTGTGTATACACAAAGCAGAAACAGAAATATACCTGTCCTGGTGTTGGTGCTACTGATACCAGTAGCGAGATGCCTACTGTGTTGTAGGAGTAAAACTGAATAATCTAACAGGCTGCCCCCTGCCAAGAAGCAATATAAATGAATGCAGTGTGAGGACTGTGTTTTATCTGCCCTGTCTGTGCAACAAAATAGAACAGTGTGGTTTGTTTGCTCCGCACCTAGGTACTCATTCCAGCTGCAGTATTCATTCGGCTTCACAATGATGACTGCTGTGGGTGCTTTGGCCGTGAGGACTGTGGGAAAAGCTGTGCGGTAAGTGAGCCTTTACGCTCCAGTCCCAGATAATCCCAAAGACAAGATGATGGCTGTGTTGAAACTTATGTCTCTGTTTGCTGTGCAGATGCTGTCCTCAGTTCTGGCAGCCTTTGTTGGGATCTTTGGTTCTGGATACTGTATAATCATTTCAGCACTGGGCTTGTCTCATGGACCATATTGTTTTACTCACCTAGAAAGAAACTGGATCTATCCTTTCACTGAATCCTCTGGAGGGTAAGTTCTGTTCATGAGGATGATGTATCTTCCCCCATGTACCCATGGTCTTTATTCCAGTACCTTTCAGCAATATCCAGTAACCATATACCAAGATCCATTCATAAGTTTATGCTTCTCACTCACTAAGAACCAAACAGATGGCGTCAGTTACCCACATTGCTATAGTTTAAAACCAAAGCAATATAAATCCTCTGCCCTACAAAAAGGGATCTGGACATATATATGTAATAATATCTACATACCCCATACTGTTCACGTCCATGAACATCTCTAACAAAGTATAAAGTTTTAGGACTTTGAGGGGTTTACAAACTATGAATAGCAGTTGTTACGAAATTTGTCATCATTTGTGTAAGAATCTGTTTTGTGAGGCTTGCTTCTGAAGTTGCTTTGCATCAGTGTAAACTGGCATAATACCTTCATTAGTGACAATGGCATAGAACCTTTGTAAATGAAACTAGAAAAGGTTTATAAGAATCTTTGTACATTGCAGGGCGGGGAAGGCCAGAAGCTCTTAATTATCCCTAATTAGGGTTCTCCAGCAAACCAAGCCTATGTAGCTGAGTTGCATGCTATTCCCCATTAATCCCCACAAATCCTGTAGGTTGGAAGAGGATTTGGTTTGGCTCATGACATGCTTTTACAGTGTCTGTATGGTTGGCAACCTCGAGGCTGTTTCTAGTAACAGTTTAGGGCTGATGCCAGACTAGAGACAGTTTGAGTACTAAGAAGCCACATAAAGATCCTTTGCAGCAAAGAGTTTGAATTTTACATTTCAGTTGCATTTCTCCCAAGAGGGGGCATTCCTCCTCCCCCTATGACTGAATATAGAAGAACTGAGTTAAGTCCTTGCTGAAGGCTCATCAGTGCTGATGTTCTGAAGATGTGGGTGAGGAGTAGCAGCTGGAATACTGCAGTACCCCTCTAAATTTGTTCTGTCTTTGACTCTTCCAGAGTAGGCATATGAGGGCCCAAAGACAGCAGCACAGAGAGGAAGTGACCCATTTGCTTCAAATCAGTAATTGCTGTCTTTAGAATAAAGGCCCAGTCCTGAAAAGCTCTGTGGTTGTTTTGAGAAATAGCTTTGCTCTTTCAGCTTTCTTGAGTTTCTGTCTCGCTTTAATCAGTAATAGAAGATTCTGCCTTTATAGCTTAGATATTTTTTTAAAAGAAATTAAGACTTAATAAAAATGTATGGTTGATAGTTCAACACGTTCTTAAACAGAGCAAACTTTGCATGGAATAAACCATTGCATTTTCTATTCCCACTTAGAGTGATTATCCTCGATGCAGTTACAGCCTAGACGTAATGTGCTTCTAGTGTATGGTTAAGCATCCCACTCTGTTACAACGTTAATATGCTTTTAATTGCTGCATACAGGTACTTGTTTGAGTACAACAAATGGTCTGAATGTCAAGAACCTCAAAACATCGTGCAGTGGAACGTCACCCTCTTTTCCATCCTCCTTGCCTTGGGAGGAATAGAGTTCATTCTGTGCTTCATACAGATCATCAATGGCATTCTTGGAGGACTTCGTGGGTTGTGCTGCAGTCATGAGGAGGTAAGCCATTTGTAGTTATAACCATGCTTCTCAGATGAACACGAAACACTACTGTTACCGATGCTACTGTGGAGTCTTACTCAGCAGCTGTTTTTTAGGTATTCTTAAGCAACAATTCAGTGTACAACTTTTTTATAGCCCTGTTCTGTTCAGCATTTTCATGTAGCATTTGACCACATGCTTTCAACTGATTACACAGCTGTCACAGGGAAGTTAGTCTGCATAGGAGCTGGACGGCTTTTTTCCCTCCTATGGCACATGCAGTCATCAGCATTATATAGGTGATATAACAGAAACACAAATCTCCTGGTGGTGGTCTTTGCCATAGCCTAAACCATTGTTGCATAGCGTGGTGCAGTTTTGTGGTAGGCTGCTTGTTCGAACTATATTGCTTTAGCCTTGTATTTTGCTCACAGCAGCTGACAGACTACTGAGAATATGCTGTATGTAATGAAAACTGCAGCATCCTGGCCTTGCTTAGTAAAAGTAGGACAAGAGAAGGAATTAAATTGCACGTAGCTAACAAAACCTGCAGACAGATCTGAAGGGTTTTTTGAAGGTGGGGTTTTTTTTGAGTGAGGAAGGGGAATTTCCTCCAAACCTCTTTAGAGTCTTATTAAAAAGTTTGAGCATGTTGTTAAAAAAGTATCGTAGTGGTAGTCTTGGAATTGCAGTGGCTTAAGGTATGAACCAGGTATGATTTATATCACACACACATTGTGCCTAAGAATGTGTTTCACATTTTTAATTGACATAGTTGAACGTTGGGGCTCTTTCAAAGCTATTACTGTCTTCTCACTGCTGTCTTCCATGCTGCAACTGCAGTATAAAAGAGCCATGCTATGGTTGTATAAATGTGGTCAGGTTAATTTTAGCTCTTATAGTTGGATACAATATTAGCATTCTTCCCCTTAATATGTTTCTTTCTTTTTGTTCCCCCACAGACTTACGTTTGCTAGAAACTTGATAATGCATTGACGTCGGTGCATGTGTGTGGTGTATTGAGTATTCTGTGGGTTTGTTGTTTGGGTTTTTTTATATTCCATGCATACTAAAATGCACATTGCTTGTTGTCAAACTGTGATGTTGCCATCAATTTAACTGACTTGGTGCCAGCCTTTGTTGTTGGAGTCACATGCAGGTCTTCCACTAACCTGCCTGTATCTAAAGGCAAAATGTATCCTGAAATTTCTTTGGTTCATTTCACCTTAGCACGGGCAACTGCCTGAACACGTCACTAAAGATGCTTCCCCCCCGCCTTTCTTTCTATTGACACAACAGCTCTGTACTTTATGCTGCTTTCCCAATAAAGCTGCAATTTCATTCTGATGTTGGAAAGAACACAAACCCAATCTAGTCTGGCCTGGATATAAATGAATACTCACTGGAGCAAAACTAAAGCAGCAGTAAAATGTGGATGATTGAGGGCAGATACACACACTTCACCTTTTCAGGATGTTTTCTGAACTTCTCCTGTATTTCACAAATAAAGATTTATATTAAAAATATCCAGCAGGTGTCAGTGATTCTTTCCCTGCCCATGCTGAAACACTGCTTTCCTGGTCTTGGAGTAAAGGACAGTGGTGGCATGAAAACATGGATATAAAACAGACGGGTTATAACTACTTTTCTTCTCCAGCAGGCTCTGTCAGAGTTGGAACTGCTTCACTGTTTGGTTTAGATCACTTAGGCGAGCCAGGCAATTGTGCGTCAACAAGGATATGATGGTTCAACGACAGCTCTGTGGCAGATACAACTGTGTACATGGAGTCTTATTCCTGGGTCTGGGCTAGCGGTTCATTGCTGGTGGCTCCTCCAAGGACCAGAGGGAGGTTCCTGTGCAGCTGAGCCACAGCTCTGTGTCCCTTCTGCTGATCTCCCAAGGGGGGCTTGCCTCCTGACTGCTTAGTCAGAGTCTTCAGACAAAACAAAATGTGGGTCTGGGTCCTGTTTTCTACCTCACTCAGCAGACCCCCAAGCGTAGCAGTGTTCAGAAAATATAGTGCAAATTCAGGTCGGCAGTGATAGATTAATCTGAAATATTTGACTTTACCAGTAAACAGCCTGGAGGCAGGATTCTAAGATGCTGTGCAAGAACCTCCAAAGTGTGGCTTGTCGCATATTACAGTGAATGTTTTATCACAATGTAAAGTAAATCTGAACACCAACAATTGCATACCGTTTATTCATACATAAATACATAGCTGAGGGCAGTCTTTAATACCATTTCTGCTTGTTGTGTTTATCCCTTTCTTGCCCTGCTATGGGAGGGAGGAGAATATGCGTGTGCACATGTGTATACACACATAAAATTCCTTGCTGCTGTGCAGTATGGTATCTTTGTATGTGAAGAAGCACTGTTTGAAAAAGGATCTGCAAGTTTAAATTAAGCGTAGAGTGAGAGGAGGAGGAAAAGAGGTTCTCGATGGAACAGGATATAATTCCCATGCAATTTATAGATTTTTGCCTTTATGCTTGCATAATTGTTACTTGTCTTTCTGGTACACACAACTAATTAAAGAACTGAAACAATTTAGAAATTCCAATGGACAGAATGATTAGGCTAGAGTTTAGAATTAAAACTTCAGCTCAGACCCATGTAGCACTAATGCACAGCATTACTACTCACTGTTTATGTTGTCATTTAGAAAAAGGCCCGCTGAATTCCTTTGTTGCCTGATGCATAAGACTGTTTTGGGAGTTTTATCAGTTACATCGTGGAGAAGTGGTTGGTTTAGGTTAAATTCATTTCAGTTAGCAGAGAAGTCATTCATCCAGAGTAAACATGGCTTTTTGGTAATGGGCTTGGCATCAACTGATGGATATTGACAGCAACAGGAAAGCAGTTCTTGCAACACTTGGCAAGGTATTTGAGAAACAGATTGCCACGTTTGCTTAATACTTAGCATAAAATAATTGCTTCCCGTTCTAGCAGTATAGTGTGCCAGCAAAAAAACATACCTTGATTTGGTATTTGCAGAGCTCAGTTTAAGTACAAAGTAAGTCACGATGCAGACTGCTGTAGTGCAGAATGAATGCTGTTTCAAGTGTCGCTTTCCAAGGAAGTTTCTTCTGGTCAGAACAGATTACTCTGGGAAGAAGCAGCAAATCGGACTAAAACTGAGCTGCTTGCTAGTAATTTTGGGCTTTGCTTTTAGAAAAAAAGATTTCATGATCTCTGAGTTTTGTAGTAAAAAATCAGTCCTGGGGATGTGATGTACCTGCTTTTAGTTCAGCTGTTTTCTCTGATCTGTAAGGCACAGTGTTGATGATGGGAGGTCTGTCCATGCCTGTGAGCCTGTATGGAGCCTCCTGCCTGGAGGTTTGCTACTAATTTTGATCAGAGGGAGGCCTGAAAAAGGTGTCTGTAGTGATTAGGGAGTAAAACAGGAAATACAGGAAGATCCTCAGAGTAAAGTCTGAGGACTTCAAAATGAAACCTCCTAGAAAAAGAAGGGGAGGGAAACAGGGGAGAGTCACAGTAGCAAACGGATAGAAAAATGGTGTCATTGTATGAGTACCACCATGCCCATTTCTTTGGGTGATCTCATTCAAAGCAGTAGGAAGAAATTAGTTGCAGCATGCAACCCAAACAGCTTTTATGAGATCATGAGAGAAGCCTCACATGTGCAGAGCCTAAAACAGCTCATGAGGAAACAGAAGGAAAATATGCCGTGACATCATTGCTTCTAAAATCAGCCTTTTCGCTTTTGATAGAGTCCCAATTTTTTGTTCTCTGAGTATGACTTTCCTATTGAGTAAACCCTAAGCTCGTTCTTGAGTTGCTTTTCTGATGACTCACAGGGGCATGGAAAGAAGACTTGGATCGTGCTGTGAGCATTCAAGCAGCTCTGGCTCTGTGTTACTGGAATGGATGTTTAGTTGCTTAGGGAATGATGACATGAAAATGGGGAAACTGCCTGGCTTTGGCTTCACACAGTGCAAAACAGCAGGCATTCCAAAAAACAGCCAGACCTTTTGTCCTGTACAAGAAGTCACGTGTACTTAGGTCAGGTCTGTAGCTATGCCTACTCAGCTGTAAGCACAGGGCAAAACAACTGGAGAAATGGCAGGATTTCATTCATGAAACAGTTCAGCTGCATAATGCTGTGGAAAAGAGTAATTAATTGAAGTGTGACAATAAGTCTGCCTGGCAGTTTCTAACTAGTGTTATTTGGGCTTCTGTACTCTCTGCAGAGTGGCTAAGACTCAGTTCGGTAGTTTTGTGAGGCTGCCCCAAGCTAGCAGCTTGGTTCACCCTTAGGGCCGTATCTGCCAAGCTCTGGTATTAATTCTTTGTACTGTGAGGCAACGTGTGGCCTTCTGTACAGAGACTGGACATATTATCATCTGACAGCCTCTTTCCCCATGTAAGGTAGAAGAAAATTTTGAGCTGTACTAAGGCTGAGCAACCTGCCTCATGTCGCAGAATATCTGCATTGTAATCCGTGTTCTTGGGAGGAGTGCGTTTCTAAGCAGTTACTAGGAAATGAGATTTTTGAAGTTCCTTCCTGAGTCTGACTTCTAGACACATTTCATTTGGAAGATACAAAGGAGGATCTTTTAGAAGGGAAACTGCCACTTCAAGACATATGCTTAGAAAGGACAATGAGTTTAGACAGCGATATTCATCTATTGTTCTCCTAACTGTTAAGCACTTCGCTATCTCTGGAATCATACCCCAGTCACCCAGTTCCTGTGAATATGAAATGACTGAATCAAACTGAGGAGGTCAAAACGCTTTTCATATTTAAAACCTTGTAGTCTTTTGTTAGCTTGGGAGAGCAAAACTTCTAAAGTTCTTGAGAGATGGCTTTAGAGACATGTGGAAGCTGTTTGAGTTGTCTGCTGATACCTCTTGCACTTTGGAGTATTGTTGTTAACATCCTATTATACTTCCCTAATGGGAAAGCTTTGCATGCTGCCAGTTACCAGCTTCCCAGCTACGTGTGGTATTTTGAAGGGATCTGTTTCTCAGGTGTGATGGTAAGTGTTGATTCTATGGACTTTTAATGAATTGCACTGTACTGCAAGTAACACTGGGTTACTGTGCAGCAATGTAATTGTGCTTTTACAGAGAATATGGATTACTTTGGCAAAAACGCTGCAGGCAGAAAAACTTGATCAAACTGAAAAAAAAGTGACTATACTGAATGACATGCTATGTATACTATTTAATTTCATGTAAGTTTTTCCAGGGTTGATTGGTTTTTCTCTGCTGGCTTTTTGTTTATGTGTATTTTACGCTTGTATTATGAAGGCAGGCACTATGTTGATTTAAACCTCTATGGAGATTGAGTGAGAGCTCTTTTACCAAAACAGAATGAAACAAAAACTAAAAAAGCTTCTCATAACTGTTCAGATGTTTTTAAGAGTTGTATGCAGTCCAGCATTTAGAGGACTGGATACAGTTCACAATGCATCAAGTGCCACTGTTGTTAGGCTAAATACAGAAGATTGTCTCGCTGTGATTGGCATAGTAGGATTTTCTCCATTACATTTGTAATATGCTCATCTGCAGTAATAACTAACACAGAGTTGCCCACTGCTCATACTGTTTGCTATGTTCATAAAGAACTATAGCCTCAGGGACAGAAAGCAGTTATGTAATAAAAGTGCATGCACACAATCAGCATTTAAAAAGGTCTCATCTGCATAAGTAAGGTGTTTTTATGAAGGTGCTGAACTGGGAGTGTTATTATAACATGAGACATTCTTTTGAAATTGTGCATTCTTCCTGAAGGGGAAGAAAAACCTTATCTTTTCTAGAGGAGGAAAAAACTATCAGGCAGAGAATTTGAACAGAAAAGCATAGTTGAAAATTTGGGGAAAACTTAGCTGCAACAGTGACATTCATCTTTTGAAGCATTTTTAGGCTTAGGCTCATTACCAATTTATTAAAAACTTATCTATTATCCTGTTACAAACAGGGCAGCAGCATGTGAGAGGATAGTGCTGTGACTCGGAAACATTCCCTTTTTGTATTTCCCCTTTCAAACCAGTGCCTCCCTGAGTAGCAGTTTGTGGTTCTGGAGTCCAAATCTTATTTGTTGAAATGATTCTAGTATCAGGCTTAGATAGTCCAATAGTCCGAGAAAAACAGTATGGATGCTTGACAGAGAAAGCAAATGAAAGTCCAGGTGAATTTAACGAAAAGCTTGTACTATTGACTTTTTCTAGCATAACTGCGTTGATAAGGAAGGTAATACCTGACCCGTGTAACTGTGTCAGCAAGAAGCTGTTGAACTGATGTGGTTGTATCAATAAAATATCCTTCCTTTCATTGGTATTGATTCTTTTACTTGTGAGCTTGGTTTTATTCTTTCAGTTTCACTGGTATAGCTGTGTCTATGCTAGTAACACTTTGCTGTGATAGGAGACACTGTACTCTTGTCTTTCAAGTACAAGAAATAAGTACAGTGACAGCCTAATAAAAACAGTCTGGTTTCATGGTGCGCCTTGAATAATTGTGCTTTTCTACTGAGCAGCTTTAAAATCTCAGCAGAGTATAATAGATGCAGTCCCTACCTTCCATAGGTGAAGGAGACTTTGGCTTAATATCTGCAGTCATTTCACTGACCTTATAATGTCCCCTTATAGATTCTTCTGTTGGCAGTAATTCTAATAACACTGGAGTGTAGCGTCTTCTATCGGTGCTGCCAGAGTGAGAGCTGTAACAAAACCTACAGGGTGAGTCTGTGTTCTATTTTTGTGCATCTCTTTAGCATTTGTTCTGAGCCTTCCTGCCCCCATGTTTCCAGCACGTCCTTCTGCCCTCTCCACTGCTCTGTTTCTGCTTCATTTCACAGAGGAGGATTCTAAGTCGGGTTGAGAGGTCACAGAAAGTGTAGCTCCTTCCTTCTGATGCATAAGCAGGACGAAAGAAAAATAAACAAACAAAAAGTCCTTGTAAAATAAAACAAGAACGTAGAGGCCTGAGAGTTTCAATGAAGTGCCCCAACTAAATAGCTTCATCCCCTTGCTTGTATTATTTGGAAGTTATTTTTTTCCAGTAACAACTCAAAATACACTCTGGCATGCAAACGTGTATAATGCGTGGTTGTGTTCCTCTAGCATTTTGGGAAACAATTTTGCAAAAATGCAAGTTTTAAAAAAACAAAATCCCCGAACAGTATTTAACTGAGAGTTGTGAAACTGTCTTAAACTCTGTCTTAGTCTTTATTTTGTATGTGTATGCTTACTATTCTTTACCTGGTATTTTTCTTTCTGAATATTGAAGATTGGGACAATCAAATGTGAAATTCAACCCCAAGAAAGTAGCTAGGCAGGCTGAATGACTGTATTTGCTGTGGACACTGTCCCCACACAGTAATATTTTCCTTTCTTTACTTCAGAGTTTTATTTCAATTGTGCTAGCCCTGCTTGGAGTTGCTTTCTCTGGATACAGTTGCATCATTTTTACCTTGGGGTTGATTCAAGGCCCCTTCTGCAATTCATCAGGTGGATGGGATTATATCTTCAAAGACACTGCTGGAGGGTAAGAAACATCAGTGTAACTCTTCTGGAAGAAGAGTTCATCAAAACAATAGTCAGACAAATTCTCTGAGTTTTACAGAAAATGGCACGGTTTCTTGAACACAAGACCTATATTGGTGAGTGAGGTTTTTCAACTTCTTGAATGAGCACCAGAATCCTCAAAGAAAGGTATTTGCCTCCTTGTAAGGAAAGATTAAATGTAAGAATCTTTGTACTGATCAGACCTGGAGGTCCATCTAGCTAAGTGTCCTTTATCTGGTGGTGATCACAATCACATGTGTAGTAAAGAATATAGGATTAGAGTCTAGATGGATACTTTCTCAGGATATTCTCTCAAATTCCTCGAGGTTTTGGTTCAAAGATTATGGATGGCATTGTTATATTTAATAACTCAGTAGGTTTCTCTTCAACTCCTAAAGCTCAATGAAGTCTGTGGTTTGATCACTGGTAGTTTTTGCATAGAGCTGCTGCATCTCATAGAACGCCTAAGCGAGGTAGACAGTGTTGTCTGTGTCCCAGCCTCCTAGAGGCATGAAAGGTTTGGTTCAGGTCTGTAACCTGAGGCTGCTTTCGCAAGATTTTACGTTCTCCCTTTAAAAGATCAAAGTTTTATAAGACTTGAATATTTCAAGTAATATAATGCCAAGCTCTTCCAGCTGTATTTGAATGCACTGAGGATTACATTTGTCAGAGGATCACAAACAAGTTCCTTCAGCATCCAACAGGAATAGTTCCTAAACTATGTTCTTCTCTGACTTAAGTCAGCTTTATTTTAAAACACTGAAGTGCATCCTGCAATCTCTGCTACGTATCACCAGCATTACCATCCCATTTGGAAATACAAAAGTGAGAGTTTGAGTCCAACATAAAAGGCCAGATGCTGAATAATACACTCCAGATTTGACTCAAAGCATTTCAGTTATGAATGTTTAGGAAAAAAGCAACTGAGACTGAGCAAGCGAGTCTAACAAAGATTCTTGCAGCTGACTCCAGCCTATAGCATGTCTCACAGCTAAAAGGGCACAGCCGGCACACACAGTTGTGCACATTACCATTCTCAAGGATGCAAAGCATGGCTCTAGAACAACTTGAAATTGCATGCAGTGACACTTACCTCAGCTTTGCCATTTAGGCTGCGTGCACTGGTTAGAATCATAGCATTGGGGGGTTCCTGCTCTCTGCACGGTACTGATGTCACCTGGACTTAACCTAAAGCTGAAATTAAATCAATAAAAGGAAAATTCCCTTTTTAAACTTGGCTTCTGCCATTTGAAAAAATGGCAGAAGAGTCTGGCTCCTAAACCTGAAGCATGTAAAGCCCAATATGGTTTTTCCACATAGTATAAGTAAAACAATGTGTATTTAAATTGAATTGCACCCACTGCATTTACTTTACTTCATGTTGCTGTTTCTCTAACAGGTACCTCACAGATTACCCTGCTTGGTCTCAGTGCACCGAACCTGCTAACATAGTGGAGTGGAACATCATTTTACTCTCTATTCTTATAGCTCTGAGTGGACTGCAGTTGATCATCTGTTTTCTCAAAGTGGCTGCTGAGTTGAAACGGACACTCTGTGGGACCTATTCTGTTTTTGTCCAGGTAACAAAATACCTGAGGTAATTTCTTCAGCATCTCCAAGTCAGTTTAGCTTCAGCAATTTCTCTCTGGTTTATGCAATCTCTATGCTACTGCATTTTTATTACCAGAGGATATGTGCTGATAGTAAAACTATTGTGTTTGATTCATCCACTAATTCCTTGTGGTATACAGGCATTGGTGGCTGCTCACTGTGACCTTTAAGGCCAGGATTGAGAACAAAAAAATGTGGCTGAGAATTCAGCACCGATGCTGAGTCCATTACTCCTGTGTCAGCAGAGATTCTGAGCATTCAGATGCTCAGAGGTTCTAGCGTTCGATTTAGTCATTCTTATCAATGTGTGGGTTTCACAGCAAACAGACGAAGATGCAAGAGGTAATATGTAGCAGGCGTGATCTAGGCATCAGTTTTTACTATGTTTTCAGTAAGTTATTGAAACAGTAACTGAGAGGGCTCTGCTTTGGGCAGAAGAATGAGTTGGAACCCCAGAGCTCAAGTGACTGATGCTGCTAACCTGCACGCTAGTGTGAAGTGTGTGGCACTCAGTTTCCCCAGCTTTGGAGGTAGGGTGAAATTAGACATGCTTACTCCTCCCTGTCCATCTGCACTGGGATCAAGGCACCCTCAGGGTTTTTGTGTCGCCAACAATCTCAGTGATGACAGCACATTCGAGAACGATTTCTAATTAGGAAAAGCAGCAACCCTCAAAAGCATGCGTGCACACACACACATGCACATACACGTATGTACACCTGCACACGCACGCAGTAGGGTTAGTTCTGTCATGCAAGTAGGAAGCGTTGGGAGGGCAGAGCAGGTGAGGATGGCAGTGCCTCCGCAGCATGAAGCCTCCTGACCAGTGCTGGTCAGCCAGGGCGGGGGAGCTGCAGGTGCCATGGAGGGCCTTGGGCAAGCAGGCAAGGAAGAGCTTCTTGCAGGAATTTACTGTAACAGCAACCTACGATAAGGTCGAGGCCGGAGGCAATTTCTCTCAAAACATTCCGCTTGCCAGTGAAGGAGCCTCATCAGCCTGGGACCCAGCCCAGCTTCCAGCGAAGTCAGAAGCAATAGTCAGCTTCTCCCTGGGCGCAGAGCAGGGTCACCTCTGGAGCCCTGAGTGCGTGTCGGATTTAGATTGGATGTGGATGTCGAACAGTCGAACAACTTACATATTAACTTGAGTTGAAAAAAAGAGGGCAATTCCTTCCTTCCTTTTTTATTTGCAGGCCGGGATTCTCTGAAAATGGCAAGAAAATCTTCACTGCTTCTCCCCCATCTCCCCCAGCCCCCCGAAAAAGAGAGAAATGGCTTCTCCAACATTCACGGTGGTAGATTTGGGTGCTGCAAAGACAAATGAAACCCTTGTCTTAAATCTTTGTCTCTCAAGCCTCTCTATTTTGGACGAAGTTATTTGAACTGTTTGACATCTACATTTTTCTAGTTGTTTTCTAACGTGTCCGGTTGTGCCTGGCAGTGACTCTTCAAGTTTTTGCCCTCCAGCTTGTTCCGACAATAGGAAGGTTTGAATACCATAGAACTGCTCTTGTATTGAAATCACCTTTTTTTTGAATAAATTGCTGTGAAACTGCTATAGAACTGCTTTTATATTCCCCTCTCTCTGTTTAGAATGTAGGAACATTTGTTGTTCTGAAAGGGCCTGATTCAAAGCCCAGTATGTCAAGAGGGGTTGTTCCCTTGAGAAATAGTGCACTGGATGAAGCCATGATTTCTAAATGAATAAATTTTAGTTTCAGACAGACCATGATGGTCATGAAAGACAGCAGCCTATGCTGCTCATTCTATCTTGGAAGTTCTTAGCTGCACAAAGCAATTACTGAAAAAAGTCTATCAAGTCTTCCTGTGGTTTCAGAAAGGCATCCAGGCCTGATTGAAAGATGAGATACACAGCTCTGAAGTCAGCCGTGCGAATTAGTACATGTTAATGGCTGCACTGGGTTTCTTTTTATTTTATACTCAGAGGCAAACTTTTTTTTTTTTTATCATTACGTGACTTGAGGGAATGTATGAACACTGACTTGTGAGCACCCAGTGCTGGCTTACTAATACTCTTCTAAATTCCCTGACCTTGCTGCAATGGAATGCTAATGTTCTTGACAATAATAATCACACGAAAAAGAATAATCTGTTTTAAATTAGCAGCTAAAAAGTCTTTTTAATTTCTCAAAGAATTATTACTTCATTCCCAGTGGAAATTCAGGGATTCACAGTAAAGTGGACATAGGGCTCATTTGCAGCTACATGGGCAACATTTGGCTGCATTCAGCACTCTGGTTTTGAGAGAATGAACACCCAGAGGAAAGCGAAATATGTGCTTCAGACTTGCAGTAATGCATGTATCCCTATTACATCAGAACTAGTGGGATTCGGCTATATCAACATCTAATATTAAACACTGTTAGAACTGCAAACCATACAGTAAGTGGCAGCTGTGGGTAAGATATTTAGAAAAAATAGAGTATATCAGTCATTTAATTCTGTTTCAAGACAATATTGAGATTTTGCCTTGATATTCCTTTACCAGATTGTTTTCAAAAGCTGATTTCTTCCTGTAGGATTTGAAGAATGCATCTAAAGTTTTAATTGCTTAGTTTCTATTGAGTTGCAAGAAGTAATAAATTAATGATGTTTAAGAATGGGGCTAGTCTTTTGGGAGACGGTTCAAGGTGGCATGGATGTTCAGAGATGCATGATAAAAAGGCATGATTACAAAATGGGGACTGTTTGCAACTGCACGCTTGTTTTTCCCTAGGCTTAAATATACATCATATTGTATATCTACTTAAATGATAATCCCCCATTCCTTATGGATTTGTGGATATTGTTTGTGGACAGAAGGAAAAGAAACAAAACTTAACAATCAACCCGTACTCCTACCAAACATCTTGGAGAACCTTGCTGATTTCATGCCTGCAAACCATAGAGCTGTTTATTTTGAAAATGTTAGAAATATTTGAAAAAAGGTTTTGGTTATTTGGATGAAAAATAGTATGTGTGGGGTAGACATTCAAAGAAGAAAACCCCTAAAACTGCTACGTATTCCTAAAGTGAATGGCACCATTTCACTGAGGAAAGCAAACAAACAGGGTATTCTATTGAGACTCCAGCTCAGCCATGAGGAAAATACAGGCTTATCTATAGGCAAACAGGGTCTATTGAGATAGACTTTGCCATGCTGGAAGACAGCAATGAAATACCTTAAAGTTACACCTGGAAACTCTTAACCCTTTATCTTGCTCCTGTGTGTGTTCTTTCCATTTTTCAATAACTTCTGTCTCTGATCATGGAAAGTCTTGGCCTTGGCAGACAGGAGACACAAAGAATAGTATCTAGTTTGACAGCTTCTTCCATAGTAGTATTATTAGTGGCTGTCCTAACCACTGGCAAGACTTGCTGACTTTAATTCATCCTTTTTTTTGTGATTGTGTCTTGTGAATTTACATTTTCACTCTACCACGGGCTGGTATCTACTGTTTTGGTGGCTTAAATCAAAGAAAGAGATGTGTAATTTAGTTCTTGTTGGAGGTATCGATTCTGCAACCGTCTTTATCCATAATCCAGATATTGGCATCTCCATTGCCATCGCCAGACTCAACTTGTGACCTGACAGCTTTTAAATGGGCAGTTTATTAATTTGAAATCGGTGCTAAGAATATCAAAGGCTAACAGCGAGTTGCATTTACAAATTTAACAGCTTGTTTGATGCAGGGCTTTTGGATGTAAGGCAAAGTTAAACTTGATCTAATCAATTTAAGTCCTCATTCAATCCTAAATACGGTGTCTCTAACAAGAGGTGCTACAAACTGTGCCTGATAGCAAAACCAAGATTCCTGTAAGGAATATTAACTGACTTGAAATCTGGACATAACCAGCGGCTCTGGTGGTGGTGTTTGAGGCAACGTGACCCTCTGGCTCTCCAGCTGCAGAATACAGACCTCGCCCAGAGAGCAGCAGAGAGGAGTGGGCCACAGAGCCAGGACAAAGCTCACACCACACTGCCATAAGAGAAACCCTTTTTTGAAGAAGTGTTCCTGAACCTGAAGTGCATGTGCTGCCTGCCACACATAAAATACCCTGGGCACACCTGGAAGAAAGATGCAGATTTGAGTTTATAAACTTCTGCAAGTGAGGAGTTAATGCTGAAATCTAGAAGTAAGTGTTCCAGCATTATTTGTTCCTCAGAGCCAATGCATTTTGCCAGAGTACTATGATGCTGTGTCTGGAACAGGAGTGTCATTCATTTAAAACACTGCAACTAGAAATAGCTGCAAATCAAACACCACAAATAATTGTGGGCAGAGATCTGCAGTAAAATACTGTGGAGCCCCATCCACCTTTGCATTTTGGGGCATATTATTCCTCATGTAGGTAAAAGCGAGTCTCACTGAAGCACAGTTTCCTCACATGTTGGATGGAGGGTTTTCTTCCACATTGAAAAAGAATAGGGTGGCAGAGGACAAATGAAGCTCCCCAGAAATTTAAAGGGTGTTTACCTGCAAAGGTTTGCAGGAGGTCAGAACAGCAGCATGGGCAGCAGACTATAAACACATCATTCAGATTAGGGAATTATGAAGTTGTGGGGTTTCAATTCAATCTCACTGGGAGCTTTTGTTGAGACTTTTTTGTCAGAATATTTTTGGGTTTGGTTTTTTTCCTCAAGGAAAATTTTTGAAGTAAAAGATCAGCTTTATATTTTCAATGCAGTTTTGAGGACTTGCAGAACAGTCATAGCATTTCAGCATCCTCAGTATGAGAAATGAGGTATTGTGGTTTAAAACAATAAGGGGATATTCATGACACCAAACTGCAGACTCATAATTTAACCAATTAAATTAGGTGCTCAGTCTTTTTAGGCCCTGTCTACCAGGGGAGAGAGGTTCCTGCTCTTCAGACACCCTCTGAGGATAATAATACAGGCTTGGGAAGCTCAGTCACCTCCGTCAGCTTTTTGAGTTCCTTAAGAGAAAGATAATAGGAGTGTGCT